GTCCCCCCCCCGCCGTTCTGCGGGCTGTGCCCTGGCTCCCTGTTCAGCTTCACCCCAGCAGAAAACAGGGGTGAGGTCCTCACCAGCCAGCCGGGGGTCTCTGCTGCCCTGAGGGTCTGTCTGATCAGGGTGAGCCCTGTCCTGGCCGCAGTCGAGATGTGGGAGCAGGGTGAGTCCAGCTCGGTGGAGAGCAGCTCAGGCCAGCGCTTTGCCTGCTGTGGGGTGCAGGTAGCGCAGCCCTTGGGCGCTGGGGACACACGTGCTTGGGACCCCATCATGCTGGGGCTCTGCTGCCCTGAGTGCCCTCCTGCTGCAGCCCCGCAGCTTTGGTGCACGTCGGCTCTGCCGCCCGGAGCTGGCAAAGCTGCTCCTTGTCCCCGAAGCAGCCGTGACCCTGAGCTGTCGGCCCCTTCCCGGGATCTGCCGGTTGCTGAGAGCCCCTGTGCAGCGTGCGGCCCCCTCCCACGGACACTGCAGAGGAGTTTGTTGTTAAAAACAAACAGCTCATCCCGGTGACACATCTACCCGGGGCTGAGCATTTGCATCTAAACGAGCTGCCTCTGGGACCCAAACCGGTGCCGCTGTTATTAAATGACAGAAGCGCTTTATTCTGCTCTCGCCAGCACGGCACTCGCCTGCTGGTACAGCTGATTTGCGTGGAAACAGCAACTCCGCTTCCTCAGCCCGAGCTGGTGGAGCTGCTGCTCCTTGGGGCATTTGAGAGCCGATTCTGAGTTTACTCTGAAAACTTTTGCATATGATGTTTCTTTCTCAAGTGCCTCTGGGTCCGTCTTCTAAGCTTCTGGTTACTGACAGTCTGTGAGTCCCAGGGGCAAAAATTAGCATGGAGTTAAAATAGGGGAGAGAAAAAAAAGAAAAAAGCTTGAATTTCAAGTTTGTGACTTTCTTTGTTTTCTGTGGTTCCTGACCCACCCCAAGGGGGCCCAGCCCTGCGATGCAGAGCGCAGTGAGCGCCCCATGTTCCTCTGAAGGGAACCAGTTCGCTGGAACAGTTGCAGCTGGTGCCTCAAATCTTGCGAGAGCAGCTGTGACCCCACG